TCAACAATACTAAGATCGTCGGAACGATTTGAAGAGGGCAAAATGTGAATTGTAAGCAAAATGCAATGATAAAAAAAAGTTTACGATTTGTTTTTCAATCCATTTGGATGTGGACTTTGGACTCGTATTTCGCTTAAATAATGGCCACCACCACTTTTTCTTGTTCTTCTGAACAAACGTAAAATTATTGAAATTTAATATAAATGCGATAAAATCTTGAAAAAATGGTCCCCTTTTGCCTGGTTTTTGTTGTCGCAACAAATGTTTCTCTCACATGGAGCAGTTGATACTTGAGCTGGTACTTGAGAATTTCATCTCTATTTCTCTAAATGGGCTTTCGAAATGTTTGCCTGTCAAATAAGTTGAAAAATGTGAATTTGGCGTTAATTCGTTCACGCCAAGAGGCATTTAGTTTAATTTTCGTTTTCAAAATAACTTTTCGTCGTTGTCGTTTACAGGCGCTTATTTAAACAGTGCTACACCTGCGTACAATATTTCAATCTGTGATTACTAGGGAAAATTTGTTTCGAAATGACATTGAATCGTTAAGAAATTGGGTTAATTTGGTTAGATTCACTGAACGTGCTCGAATCGAAGCTAAACGTTCTGATTTATCATTAATTTGATTGTATCAACAACAAATCATTCGTCATGGAAAATTGTGCTGTCCGTTTAGGGTTTTCTTTGCTTTGAACAACTTTGAATCCCTTCAAATAATCAAATTAATACGAAACACATTTCCATTCGTCTGCGATTATAGTCCCAAAATGAAACCCTAACATAAATCTCCGGCATCACACAATTTCATCCCGGATTCAGACCGAAAATGAAAATTATAATTTTGTGCTAGAATGTGTCGCTTTTATCCGTTTCTATTGATGATATTTTTTCCATTAGATTGGCTGGGTGCTGCTAGTTGGGCCGTTTCATGTTTTAGCACACCGATTATAATTGCATTTTGCCGACGAAAATCGACCAGACTAACGGCAGTTATTGGCGGGTAAGAAAATTAATTAATTTATTTATTTATTAATTTAATACTATTAATATTAATAATATTAATTATTATTTTTATTAATTTATTTTTTTTATTAATTTATTAATGAACTTGATAATCAATTTGAAAATTTCATGATTAATTATTCACTTTTTTTATTAACGCCGAAGTCTGGTATTGGCACTCGGTATATTGTTTACGTCGTTTGCAACTCTCTTTCACCAAGTGGCTTTTAGTTACGGTAAGTTCGGAACAATTTTTTTCTTATTTACTATTTCTGTTTCGAATGTAATCATTTTCAAATTAAAGTGGATATAATAATATGCGTTATGCAAAACTTGACAATGGAAGAGGAAAAAAATGGAAAATTTATAATAAGATCCACAAAAGGGTGAACATTTTTGAAGCAATTTGCTCGTGGCAATTTCGATAAGTTGACCCGTTTATTGGAATCGGCATCATTTAGGAAATTTTTTCTTTCAAAACCAAATGTTCACCTGATGTCAAACATCACGTTCCCAAAAAAATAAAGAAAAAAGAGATACACCTATGTCTGTCTATGTATACTGAGAGATAATCCCCGACGAGTTTTCCTTGTTTTATCGATTTCTCTCTCCATCCGTAGTTGGCTTAGAAATAAGAAATTCTCTTTGTATCGCCTCATGAAAGATACGATAAAATAACAGTTTGAATTGCAAATAAAGCCCCCATAAACACTTACTTTCTCGGAGAGCATCTGAATTTTTTTTTTCATTTTGCCACAAACATAGACCTACGCACGTTCCAAAACATTTCCCATAAATGGAATATAATAAACATTTTATTGCCTATTAAAATTACATAATTTCGTAGGGATTGGGGATTTATTGTTCACATCGAATGTTGTTAAAACAATGTATTTTACACATAGACAATAGCTTAGAGCTGATAAAAGTGATATTGTATGAGCTTTTTTAAGTATAATTTTTTTTATTATAATGATATAGTATTATTATTTTTTAAGCTAATTTAAGAGCGAGTCCATTCTTTTGGAATTTATTTCATTTTAAATATATTGAATATTCTACTTTCTTTCGAAGATATGTAAGAACAATAGAAATTTTTCAAGTATATTCCAAATGAATTATCTTTGAATTGTTATGTTTGCCATCCTTCGAAACGTCAAAATATACAACAATTAAGATCAAACAAACTAACCTCCACTGTTGGTTTCGCTTCTTATTTGTACAACAGAGAAAAACGGAAAAAAATCTGTCAGCGGTACTATTCAAACTTTTGGACATACTTTTTGTATTTTATATAGAATAAATTCAACTGTCAGCTAGACAGTTCCATTTCTTTTTTTTTCGTCTTTTTCAAAGAATGTGTGCCAAAATTAGTTTGTACAGTTTGACTAGACATCTGATCCATGTCCCTCAAGGCAAACACAATAAGCACGTTTTATCGCACGTATGTGAACTCATTGGCCAGAGGCAGACCAGAGAAATGAAAAAAAAAACTGAGCAAACAAAAAGCAATTCAAAGAAAAACATAAGGCATTTTGATAATAATTTGCAACGAATTGGCCAACTTTATTGTAGTGATGTATCGCAGAGTGCAGCCCACAGAACAAATATTTATGATGTGGTTGTAGAAAAAAATGCGATGCGGTTTAACGTGCTCGCCATATCCATTCATTATTATGATATTCGCAATAAATCAAGCGAATATTTATATTGACTCATATAATTCACTCCATATTTATTTTACTCAAATTATTCATATTTGGTCTATTGTAATGTTATGGCTTGGAATATAACGATGATATTTTCAGCTTTTTCTCAAATGGCCACTCAAAACAATTTTTTTCAGAGATTCATACAAATGGTTGTTAATAAATTTAACGATGGTTCTTTTTTGTGCGCTTTTATTACGTCATTTACATATAGGAATTATTGTTGGTGTTGGTGCGACAATGGTGCGTGAATCGGCGGCTTTGATGTTGGGCCACTATTTCAAACGACGCAGACAATTTGTCGAAATGATCACGATGTCTGGTGAAGGTGTTGGCATTGCATTATTTTCAGTCATTTTAAAAGAAGGCGTTGGGTAAGTAACCGCATTTTACTTCCGTTTTCAATAAAAACAAAAGCAGCTTGGATCGAAACATCACAGAATTGAAAGGAAGATGAATTAATTGATGTAAAAAGTAAAGTACATGCAGATATTGATGTAATTGAGTTTCGTTCAAAAGTAATGATTTCCAAAATTCCAATAAAAAAGAATTGATCACGTCGTTCCCACATCGTGTAATGCATTCCATCAAAACAGACTTGATAAAAGCACTCATGCAAACTTTTTCGTACCAGTGACCATATTTCTTTTTTTATTCTTCTTCGTTTTCATTTTTTTTCTTGTTTATGGTTTATTTTCAGCAAAATGGGATGGAGACTTGGGCTTCAAGCTGTTGCGGGTTTAATGTCTTTTTGCTTTTTCATGGGATTACTTTATCGACCTGCGTCACTTTACCATCCACAACGAAGGGCGATTCTCTTTATGAAAAACCAACGCAAAAAGGTAAATATAACGAAGACGATTAAGTAAATTGAATCACTTTTTCCTCTTGATGTTAAGTCAGCATACTTCTTAACCAGAAAAAGAAATGGAAACTCAGCCTTCGCAACAATTGCTGATAATAATTTTGGAAAATGTTTCGCCATTATATACCCTTGACACGCAACCTACAAACGAATCAAAAATTACGGATGAGCCTACGTACAAATATGTTCATTAAAAATGATTTCGGTTTAGAAATCAACATATCGTTTGCAAATTGATGCTTAAGTCGACGATACTTCGTCAGCGTCTTATAGCCAAGTTTGGTATCACATTTAAGATGAACTTTATGAACAACGATTTCTTTCCAAAATGACGTCTTAGCGTAGAGAAAATTATACAAAACTATCCTACATTTTGTGTGCGCCCGTTGCCATTAAAAAGAAAAATTCTGTTAAAATAACACTTTCATTGTTCAACCATCTGGAAAACTAATTTCATCTATTTGAATAATAATAAAATTCATTTCGAAAAAGCTTCATATTTCGCTTGAGAGATGAGAAAAAAGGGTAATGGAAACAAATTATGTTTTTCTTCGCAAATTAATAATTCATTCGGAATACTGAGACTCATTTCTTAACATACAGCACAATCAAATTGAGTGAATAGAATTCTTGCGGCCAATAGAAATGTGCAAATGGAAAAATGAACTTCTGCACACAGTACTCCGAAAGTCAAAAAGTCGGAGCTGAATTCCATTTGCAGAGCAAAGCAGTACATGTACATTAAAGTATTTCACGCACGTGTCTCTGTTCCCATAGAAAAAATTGTGAGGATTGTTCCCATGAGATGAAATAGCCAAAGGCTACTTGTCTTGGTGTGTTTAAGGTTAAGACATGCAATATCTTGTTTTTACGTATGCCTTCGACGAAAAAAATATATGAGAATTACATCGCCATTGATGTCGAAAACAGTAGAACCTTGTTAATTTTCAAAAAGCCGTAAGTTCTTTTCTTGACCTATCCAATACAACACGACGTTAAATTGTAATAACACAAATGAGTTGCAGGTGTGAATAATAAATCGTCTGATCACTTCGAAAACATATGCTTAATTCGTAATGTGAAAATGGAATACGGAATTATTGTAAATCACTTGTCATATTTCAATATGTTGATTCGTATAAATGGATTAACTACGTTTACAGTTCATAATAAAAATGGAGCACAATATAAAAAATGGTTGAACATTGATTGATTGAAATGATTTCTACTGAAAACAATTAAGTTGTTTAATACAAAAGATTCATTTAATTGGGACATTCTTCTCGGTTCGGTTGTAAAACACTCGACCTCATTTCGTTGTTCTCTGGCTCTGTTGAATGCACCACAGAGCCTGGAATACAATGAATTGAAACACAGATGGACCATATCGTTACTGACATCCTGGATAGGAGATATCAAATTGTAACATTAAAATCGAGAATGGACAAGAAAATGGAAAATGCGTATTGCATGGTATTTATTTAAAAGCATTTCATTGACAATGTTCACAAACGTATAACATAAACCATCCATTTTATATAAACGGAACATTTCATGGAAATAGAAGAAATCGCTATTATAAACATTTCAAACGTGCATTCTGTCATTAGAACTAAAAACTTTATCATCACTTACCATCGCTTAAGGCACAAATTAAAGTTCTAATGTTTTCCTATTTTATTTTGATGGCATCTATTCACAGTATCCGAATGATACAGCGGATGTTTTGTTTGGCAAAAGTTATGAAAATCAATTTTTCTAGTTGTCCCTAACTGGACATCCTTTTTGAAAGAGTTTTACAAAACTTATGACATGAATATATACCATCAACTCGGTTTATGGTTTAAATACTTACAGCGATATCGTTTTTCCGGTCACCCGAAAAATGTATTAAAAGCTCAAAAGTTGTAACAGTCATACTGACGACACAAAGATCTATGGATTAAAAACCATGCTTTTTTGGAACAACATTTATCTGAAACAGCAAAATGAAATGAAGTTAAATGGACCTTAATTCGAATTAAGATATGGATCAGGGTTTTCTATAAATTTTTATTAACATTTAGCTGCGAAAGGTGTTACAGATCCGAACAAAGGATTTCATTCGTTTGTTGACTTCTTTATTACTGGTGTGATTACGCAATTTGCTTGTTTTTCGTGTTTTTTTTTCTTCATGAAAAATGAGCAAACCTTTATACAAACTAGAAAATATTTATAAATAACTCTGTATGCAACAAAATAAATGGTCTTGTTTGTCGCCAGAATAAAAGTGTTTGGTAATAAAAATCTAAACTATATAATATTTCGGGTTCACTTGAAATTCAACTCGACTTGTCTCCATATTATGTATAGCTATTGCTTGAATTATATATTACTTTGTCCAATAATTGTACTATATTTGTAATGTGTTTGTGATATATCTTTTTGTCTCATTCTCATATCCTTTTCGTTCTTCTGTTGTAGGTGAAAGAAAAGAAGACACATATACGAACGCCAAAGCCACCGTTTTTGGACTTTTCACCATTTAAATCGTCGACGGTGCGAATGTTAATCATATGCTCATCGATTGCATCATTCGGTTCTTATGCTCCGTTATTTTTTATGTCCCAGCATGGTCGAATCGAAGGATTCGATGTTCAGGATTTAGTTTTATTGCAAACATTTCTAGGGCTTTCGATTGCATTTGGCATTGTGGCAAGTGGTTCAACGATAAATAAAAATTTTACGATTTCTTACCGGAAAATTAATATATCAAGGCAGTATGTATGTCAGGTTAGCACATTCAATGGCATTTTCTTGCAATCCCAAAGAATTTTCGTTTTCTGTCCAACACATGTCGTTTCATTTTCGTGGTGAAATGCATTGCAAAATATTCCGTGTATTCATTTTTATCGCTCGTATTATAATATGAGAAAATTTCTGTACATATTCCATTTGGTCGGTCTTTAAATAATAACAACCATTTGGAAAAAATGTTGTTTGTCGTGCAACCATGTTTGATAAATAAAGCAGTACACCAACGAAATGAAAAAAGATGAAAAACACAAATTACCAAACACATCCACTTCGGTTTTGGTCACTGTTGTTGGTGTGTTGGGTTGTGCGAATGCATTTTTGTAATGTTTTCCCGTTTTTCTCTATCCTTTTTTCATTCGCCACGACAACAAACAGATGGGTTTGGCATTGGTAGCTATTTCGACATTGGTGATTTCCGGAATTGCTGGCTACACTAGTGTAAGTAACTTAGATGAGAGTCTGTGTGAGTCTGGTAGCGCTTGGATTTCTGTTTTCTGTAAATCTTGTCTTCTACCAAATAGTTGCATGAAAGCGCCATTCACCATATTAACAATGTTCATGGTGATCCAGATGTCGCTGTAGTTCCTTTAAGGAAACATTTCATATACAATATTTATCAATGGTCTTTTTTAGTTGTGTGTTGCGTCTTGGGGTTATGGAGTTGCGTTGGGTTGTTATCGGTACACATTGAAAATGCTGGCACTAGAACGAGTTCGAGCAAAACATTTCACGAAAGCATGGGGTAAGTGTAAAAAATGTAAATGCGGTTGAATCCAAAAGAAGAGAAGAAATAACATGAGAGAAAATGATAAGAATTAAATGAAGATATTACTGTTTGCTGTGTGAATTTTGACGTCATTCATTTTGCCGTAGGCTTTATTCGTTGTGCTGAATCAATACCGGTGTTGGTTGGCGTTCCACTGACTGCATATCTTAATGATGAATCTCATCGGTATGGGCGAGCCGGTTATTTTGTTTGTTCAGCATCTACAGCAATTTCGGCTATTCTAATGTTTTTCATCGGTTATCCGATGGGTGGTCGACAGAATTTATCAAAATATTCGGCAAACGGATCGATTACATCGCATTACACAGTACCAACAACTGATTGCCCTGATTTGCTAAATCGAAGTTTTTCATCGCGTTATAACAACTGGTATTCGAGCGGCACACAATGCACCTCATGGTAAGCACGAACGAACAAAAAAAAACTTTTTTTTCACCCAAACTGTTTTCGGTTGAAGATTAGACGAGCAATGAAAAAAAAAACATTCACAAAGTTTTCTCCCTTAACAATATGTTAGCTTTGTTTTCTATTTAATCAAATGGTAATGACATTGAAACGTTTTAGCCGATAAGTGGAAAGGTTGAAAGCTAATCCATGAAGTTTTGTACTTTTAATTTCCTGGTCCTATGACGCACATTAAAATTTATCGAAAAGAAAAAAAAGAATCGTTTTGTTAACTGTTTGATTAAGTGTTGAACAAGGAGTAAAATACGGTTTATCGCAAATTAATCATATGAACATAAGCACACACACACAAATGTGCTTACAATTTGAAATGTAATTATTTTAAGTAATGCGGTTATGCATTTGGTAGTGTTTCTAATGGTTGCTCATCGTTTCGGCATCGTGTGAGTTTTACACCAACCCATCAACAATACGGAATGAATCGATGCTGTCATTCAAATCATTGTGTTAACCGCATTCCAGCTGAAAATGGACACGGTCGCTTGCACAAAAGCCTTTCATTCGCATTCCAAACGCCAATGATGTGGAACGATGGCTATCGTTACCATGGTGCACCGAGCTATGCAACCACCGGTAGATCACATTCAAGGTAAAACTTATATCAACACTCCTAATCTCTTTCATCCATTTTTGATTCTTTCTCTATCATGCGGTTCTGTGTTTTCTTTACATTTTCTTGTGCAGGTGTGATTTGCATCGTCAATACAATAATCAAGTGGTTGCAAATGGATTGCAACATCATCCGTCTCGCAGTAGGAGCGTTCCCGAGGGTTTGGCGCATGTATCAAATCAAGGTATTGAATGTCATTGCAGTCGAAATCGCTGGAGATCGCAAAGTTTTCGACATCCGAATCGTTCGGTGCAAGTCGTCGAACAAATTACAACATCTGTCTAATGCTTTCAGTAAGTATGCAAGTAATGAATGAGAATTCTCATTTAAAAAACGAGACCATTTAGATTTAAAATGTACATAAACACGTATATTCGTCAAATGAAAGGAATCATCTGAAAATTGTATGGCAAAAATGTGTTTGATCATTGTTCATTGGATAATTCAAGCTTGAAATAGCGACTTTCGCTTTTGAATTGATTGATTTTTCTTTGCATGACCACCCATGATGGCAAGTTGCCACCGCATTTTGTTTTCACTTAACGGACATGACAAAACCCTGTTCAAGCATATACATTTTTCGCCTTGCATTTTCCATCATTTAGCATTTGCGATAAACGACGATCAACAAATACTGCCATTTTACTATTATAATAACAAAAATCTATAATTGAAAATAAGTTGCGCATTTTATGAATGTTATACATACACACAGGTACACACACAAACACACACACACACTATACAACAGTTAGGATATAAAACAATTTATTGTAATGTGCCAATTTTTGTTCTGTTGTAATTTCATTTTTAGAGTTTATTTAATATTCTATGTGTATTTTATTGTTAAATCGATTTTACATTATCGGAAATGTCATCCTCCATTTAAACATTAAATAAATATTTGATTTGGTACAAGGTGCACATGTCACTTTTTGTGTACTACATGAAACGAATGAAAAAAAAAGCTTCTCACTGGCTGTATATGGACATAAAATTCAAAATTGAAATATATTTAAAACAAGAAAAACAATTTTTGAATGTAATTTAATTTATTAGAATATTTTATCAACGCTCATAATATTAGAAATGTATTAAATGGTCCTGCATTATTATTTAATTGATAACATTCATAAAAGACCTTATGCATATGCAAAATTAACTAATCGCAAGCATTTAGATGTTTTTCACGGCAACAACAATTCCTTATGTCATTCTCCGAACATTGATTTATTCAAGATGTTCTACAAAGTTTTAACGGTAGACAAGAGAAAGGTTCATAAAATTTATTTGATTCAAAATTGATTGAGTTGATAAATACACCAGTTTATTGGAAAACGCCATAAAAAAAGAAGCATCGCAAACAAGCGTTTCTTCCCGAATTACAAATTCTATTTTAAAATGAAACTTTGTTTATATTGAGACTGAACAGAGTTTTCTGTTTCGCTTTAGTTGAATGTTGTATTCGGGTTTAACAAAATCACTTTTGAATTGAATTCGTTTCAAAAAAAAGAGTAAAACATTTTTGGCGAATGCATCAATGTTCGAAGAACAACTCTGACAGTTGAAAAATTCAACGCCAGAAAAAAGAAAGTAAATATTACACGATCCATGTACTCTTAGATTATAAGCACATTCGAAAAGTATTTAAATACATATAATGGAAAAATTCCCAAATCTAGTAACACGCAAAATAGCATTTCTATGGAACTTTAACTAGGAGCATTTTTAACAAGGGTGCCATGTTTAATGGTACTAAGATTTTCAAAGCACGTTTTGGACTCAATCACTTGTTTTTCTTTGCATTTCTGATTTTCCTTATCCTTTCCTGAAAATCTTCTCCTTTCCAAAGTACTAATCTCCACTTTTCAAATATTTTTTTTTTGCTTTTCAATTAAAAACACCACAAAAATATTACATACATTTTCCAATCGAACTATCAAATCAGATTGCTGATTTTTCCTACTTTTTTTTCTTCTTTTTTTGGAAATCTTCTGAATATTATCGTGCTTTTGTGAAATTCATGTATTTGAGTGAACAAAATTCGTGTATAACTTTAGAATTTACATACATTGTATTAACTTAATATCGAATGTAAGAATTTGAAGAAACAAAAGAAACTCATATAGCAATAATACTATTGGCTTGGAATTTGACACCATACAATACATAGAATTTCAGTTTGCCTACGAGGTATTTGCTAATCATGATTTGTATCCGGATAATATTGATTTGAATTTCGGAAATTTGATTAGTAAAAATGCGATTGATGTGATACGCATATTGAACGTGCTGAATCTCTAGATGTTGAACAGGACGAAAAAAAAGATTAATGGTTGTTATTTAATACAGTTCTTGCATTTATTCAACCTTACCCAAAAAAGGTATCGCAATTATTTATGTGCGGTAATGTTGGTAAACCGAAAAGTTGATTAATTAAGTAGATTATCGAAAATCAATTTATCTTTCAAATATCGAAATTATGGTGTCAAATTCTACAAAATGAAAATTGAATGAAGACCATTTAAACGATACTCAGCCCCACAAAAATGATTAAAGTTTAAAATTAATGTATATGTTAAAAACCTTCTAAGATTCACATAAATGTTAAATTAACATTTGAATATATAGTTATGAAATTTCCATTTATTTATTGTGTAAATTAATATAAATTGCTTTTTACAAAGATGGAGTTTTTGCTTTTTGTCATCCATATTTAGATAATGTACAAAATAAAAAAAAATACACAGATTTAAAAGTTTTGTTAATTGTCAAATCTATATATGATTTTGTGGGTAACAATAAAGTTTTAGATTCAATTACTATGATGGATTAGCATAAAATAAATGCAATTGAAAACGAAGTTAATAAATAAACAAAGAATAGATTTAATCGAGTGTTTTTCTTCATTTAATTACGCTTAAAACTTTGCCGAAACCAGAAACAAAAATGTAATTTGTGTAAGTTGCACGGCAAACGATTTTAATTTCAGAACACAAGTTTAGCTAACAAAACTGTTCTAATAAATGCAAGAGAAACGCATCTGTTTGGGTTGTGCAAGTTTTTACCACAAATTAAGTGATCTTTTAATATTTAATGCTACCGTTGGAAATTCAATATTCCCTTGCATCTGGCAACATATTGAATCAAAGGCGTTGACTCGTAATAATTTCGATGTATTCACATGATCAGCTTTGGAATTTCCAATTTCTATTCATATTTACATTTTGTGCACCTTCGGGATAAAATGCAAATATATTTTTCAATTTTCTCACTCAAACCATAAGATTATCAGCCATTGAAATGCAACAGATAAGTTCGTGGTTATTTTTCCATTTCTCTACATTTCAATGGAATGATTGAAATTGAACTCGAATTCGATTGGATTCCATCGATTGAAGCATATCAATTGACTACATAATAGATATATGCTTTTGCGCATTTATGCCATTGTATTTCATTCAAATAATAATAGACAACCACATGCTCCATATATATATATATATTCTTCAATGAGATTGGCTTCAATCTGAAAATGCAATCAAAATCGATTACAAATTCAGATTATTTCATCTCAACATTTTATTTTGTACATTGGAAAAATTCAAAACTGTTCAAGATTGATTTTACATTTCATTGGGTTTTGATTGAAGAAAGTAAGCACTTAATTTCTTCAATATTGATCAGTATTTATGGCTGTCATGTTTTGAAAAATGCCTGCAACCATTTGATTTTAATCAGCAACGTAAATAAATATGGGGAGAAAAACCATTAGGGAATGACAATGCCACAAACAAAAATGAGGAAAGCTGTTAAAATCACGCATCTCAAATATCTCACGGTAATCTTTTGAAAGAGGTAACAAATATTTGCGCGCATTTATTTATTCAATATTTGTGGTGTTTTTCTGATAGTATCTGCAGAGATACAGGGATTCATGTAAATCCAAAATCAATATGTTTCACTGAAAAGGTAAACACGTTGAAGCTTTCATATGTTCCATCATCACACATATGTTTAAACGGACTCCATACTGGATTTCATGTAAATATTCTCCAGCTACTTAAAAGCTTTAAACATCTCTATTCGTTGACAGATGGCGTTCGGTGTCATCGGTCACTATGGAAATATACTTCAACTGTTCTGTCTAAACAAAAGGCATTTTCATTATTTTCTTAAATTGTGTAGTTTATAAATGGTGAAAATGGATCAATTTTATCTTGCAATTTCGTTGTTTCGACGCAAAAACTTTGAAAAATGTATAAGTGTGTGTAATGAATTGTTGCAAGCAAATCCACAGCAAAAAGGACCATGGGAGTTGAAGATGCGAGCAATGACTCAACGTGTTTACGTAGATGATATTGAAGCCGAAGATGGAGTGCCTGGTAATTGGAATTACATCATTTCATATTCTAGTGAAATGTAATTCATTTCTTTGTCTTTTTTAATTAGAAAGCGATGACATGGATATGAATCGATTGGCAACCGCTCCTCGTCCCGGTACAACTTTGCGACCCGAAACAATGGCTAAAAATCCACAACAATTACTAATAAATAGTCGACCAAGGACATTAAGCGGAAGACCAATCTCGGGAATGGTAAGTGTTGCATTGCAACCATTAAGAATAGATTTTAATTGAATTTATATGAAGTCGAGACCAGGCACGATGTCACAACGACCTGGCACTTCAATGAAAAGTAGAACGGCACTTCGTACCGGTGGAAGTCGCATTGATTCAGCTCGAAACATTCGATTGGGTTCAGCGACAATGTTTGCATTGGGCGATCCAGGCGGCGCTTTATTTCAGACATCGCGATTAAATCCTGCCGACTTTATAAATAAGCCGCTTGCCAAACCGTTGTTTCAATTTCTCTACTATCATGATGGTGACGTGAGAAAAGCACTTGATTTGTGCAAAACCATTGTTGATCGACGACAAGGTGAAGTTTCGTGGTGGTGGCACACTCAAATTGGTCGATGTTATATTGCGCTGGGCAATCCACGCAGTGCTGAAAAATATTTACGCGATTCACTGAAGAAATTCTCACATGTCGACACAGCCTTATTATTGGCTCGAGTGTATGTGAAAATTGATCAACCGCTTGCAGCAATAGACATCCTTGAAGATTCGTTGAAGAAATTCCCCGCAGAAATTTCCCTCATGACACATCAAGCTAGAATACTCGAACTGATGGTAATAGAGTGGATGTTTTTTTCTTCTTTAAATTGTTTTTTACTCTTCGGGTTGTATACGTTTCAGGGCAATCTACAAACTTCAGTCCGAATGCATCGACAAATTGCAACCCGTGAACCAATTAACAGTGAGGCACTCGCATGTATTGCCGTCCATCATTTCTATGGCAATCAACCTGAAATGGCCTTGTTATATTATCGGTGAGCCATTTTTTTTGCTTGCTTTTATGGTATTCTTCTTTGCTTTTGGTATCGTGGTAATTATAGTGAAAGAATTTATTGAAATCGTTATTATTTACCGTCAGACGAATCCTTTCGATGGGCGCTCACAGCTGCGAACTATTCTGTAATCTCGGTCTGTGCTGTTTATATGGTGGTCAATTAGATTTGGTCTTTCCGTGTTTTCAACGTGCAATTCGACTGGCCACAACACCTGAACAACGTGCGGACACATGGTACAATTTAAGCTTCGTCGCATTGGTATGTCGTCTGTTTTGTTTTGCAATAAGGTCTGGTAAAAGAATAAAAAAAAGCATTCTCTCATTTTCATGATGGTCTCATTATTAGAAAAGTTGCTTCGGAAATAAATATGACACTTTCCAAAAGAATATTCGGTCACATTCATTCGATTTGAAAGGTGGCATTCGATCGATTTTAATCGAAAGTCAATTTAAAACACTGCAATTACCCGATTGAATGCAAGTCAATCTTACTGTTTCGATAATAATAATGAGAGCCTACTTTCTACGTAATTCTAATTCCATGGCATTGAGAACAAACTGAGAAACTGAGGAATTTTTCGTTTAATTAACAGTCCATTTACAACATGTACGCATGTTTGAATAGTTTTCAATTTGTATAATTAATGAACAAATATAAGAGTGAAGCGAAACTATCGACCATTAGAATCTTTCGGTTGTAACGCTCGAATTTCGATAAATCGTTGGAATTTGATTTTTTTTTTCTCTTCTTCGGTCTATCGTCATCTTCTACTACTTAAAATAAATAACGAAACAAACAAAAAAAAATCTATTTCTTCGGTGCAACTTGCATTAGATGAACAAATGAATTGAACTGAATTTCATTGATTTGTATTTTTGATCAATCATTTTTTTTCCTCTTCGCAGTGTAGCATTGTAATGAGTTAAGAAAGTAGAAAATATGTAACGGTATAAGTGTATTCAACATATTAATCTTGCTGAGTGATGATCCAAAAAATGTTGTTACAGCAATGCATGCATCATCATTGTTCGTATTTTTGAATATATCTTTTGAATTCAAAATATGTCCAATCGCATTGATTTATTTAACCGAGTAATGCGCTATATGTTTTATATGAAAACGTCACACGAATCTCTCCCGAAAACGACATCTTTGGTCTTGCAGCAGAAGCTGTTTCTATGCTGAAAATTTCATTTCAGTTTAAAAAATTTAAAATATTATTCATGTAGAATTGTACAAATATTTCAAAACGTTGAAATGAGATTTACAGAAATATGCATTTGAAAATTGTTTTAAAAAATAAACACGGCACAGTCAATTTCAAAAATTTCAATGAATAATATTGTTGACATATTTTCACGATGACAGCTATTTTTGCGGTACAAAATTGACACGTTTGAATGATACGTCAATATTGAACATACTCTACACACATGGGGAAACAGAGATGGCGTTGTCGTAGCATGTAGCAAAATATATGTTTAACGCAATATTCGGCTTGATTTATTTAATCGATATTATTCATTTGTATCATAGAAAAACATTTATAAACTTGTTATATGCAACACATTAAATATTTTAAGAAAACTCATAAAAAATACAAATATATATAAATTGAGTTCGATGGAATTGAATATGATTCATGATAGAAAAATATGTTGTTATTTTTTTTATTTATAACAGACTAGTGGCGATTTGAATTTGGCACGTCGATGTTTGCGTTTGTGCTTGAGTTCGGACGGTTCGCATGGTGCGGCACTCAATAATTTAGCAGTGATATCCACTCAACTGGGTCAATTTACAAAAGCAAAATCTTACTTAACCGCCGCCAAAGCGGTGCTATCAAATGGCGAAGAGGTCGAACAAAATATTAAATTAATTTCGAAATATGCATAAATCGATTATGAAAATGAATTTATCATTTTTATTAGTTATTAATTGATGTTTCAGTTTGTTTTACTTTATTTTTAGTCTGTTTCTCTCTCACACCATTTATGTTATAATGAAGATAAATCCTGTTGATTAGGTCGGAAGTAAATAATGAAAATAAATACATTTATCGCAGTTCAATAATTTGCTTTATAAATTCGATCATAATATTGACAACAATATGAAGATTATGGTATGTTCATTACACAATTCGATTGAAAACAGAAGCACACCTCTTGGCTGTATGATTCCAAAAAAAAAATCGGTGTGTTTCACATATCGGAATGATGCGTGCGACAAGAGTACAGGCATGCGTAAGTTGCACTGTACTACACAACAAAGACCACGAGTTTTTGTTCTCGTGTACACATGCACCGACGTAAAAGAGAAACAAAACCCAAAAGGAGCATAAGAAAACGACAAGTTAGGAGCAGGAATGGAATGAAGTGAAGAGAGGAAAAACAACAAAAATCCATACTATACGTATGTACAAGTGTGGTGCTGCTACGAGAAAAAAAAATGCATTCCATTCCACATTGAAGCTCGTTGAATGTGTATAAAGCAGTATCGATTAAAAAGGTAAAACGAGACACAACGTAGCACAGAATGAACAATAACAACGATGCAATGTATACACATTCACATGCGCACACATGAAACAACTCACAGAATGAGAAGAATAGAGAAGGAATGAAACGAAGAAGAACTGAGCGGAGAAGAGCAAATCATGGCCGCCACAAATTTTAAATTCCATCTTTCATTCTCCCATTTTTCGACCAAAAAACATTCGTTGTACATTGAATTAATGACGGTCTTACGAAATGCGCGCAGGAAACCTCGAATCAAATAGAATGAGAGAGAGAGAGAGGGAGAGAGAGATAATTTTGGTGAAAAGTCTATCATTTCGAGATTTAGTTGAATTTTTGTCAAAGTAATGATTATCGTGAGTACAAATCCACGCAATTCTGATCAAAATGACAATGCATTTTAAATGTAGCAGTCACGAGTGTGGTGGTGAGCGGTCGTGCGCGCTCGCGCGCGAAGAATCTTACTGCTCACGCTCATCGTACAGATATTTGTAAAATTTGAACGGCGCGATAGTAAATGCATTTAATTTTCGGTTTTGGCTTTTAGCTTAACAAGCACTTAAGGAACGAGCGTGTTCACGATTGCGCTCGCAAGTTGCGCGATCACACCAACGAGCCTTTGAGATAAAAAGAGAACGATAGAGAATAAGAGAGGGAGAGCGAGAGAGAGCAGTTGAACACATATCAAATTGTACGTGTGCATACTTCACTGTCCAAATATTCAATGTCTTGAGAAGAACATCGAATGGAATTTTATTACCTATGTGCAACATAACGAGTAACGTGTATTCCATAAACATTAATATATGTGTATGTATACATGTATGCTGTCGTATATATAAAACAGTTCGAACTATGGTGACTATTTGTACTTTTGTTTTCTACATATTTCATTGCGCTTCATTTATTCCGATCGACGCGCGATCGCTTCCTCCGTTTCTTCGCCCCAATGTGCATACACACCGTGTGTTTGGAGTTTTCGAATTACTCAGTGTGTTGCTCATTTTTGTTGTTGTAGTATTCTAAGGCGAACCGAGGCACACTAAAAAAAACACATACAGTGAATTCAATCAAACATTCACACAGAAACGACGAAGAAAAAAAAACTCCACAAAATATTTCGAAGATAAAATGATACCAAACATCGAGAAAGAGAGAAAAAAAAACATTCAAAAGCGAAGAACAACATACACCACCGCGAAGAAATACTCAAAGAAATAACCAAAAACAACACAACGACATAACCAAATACAGGCAATACACAAACACGCACACAAGCACACGGCTGGCAACGGCAACGAACATTGCATGCATAGTGAAACGTCCAATGTATGGTGCGTGTTATTGGCAAAAGAACCACAACAAAGCGTCGCGTAGCTGCTACATACGGACAGTTGATGTGAGTTTGTCGAATGAAGCAGACACGCGATTACGATCGATGTACGTCAAGCACAAAAAAGCACACCAAGGGAAACACATACTGAACAACAACAACAACAATTACATCGACCGTATATCGTTGCAGTGCATTTCAATCGAAGTATAAATAATCGATGCATTTCTCACTTTGTAAATGAGTGAAGAACTAAAAAATAATAATAATTAAAATTGCAATTACGAATAATGTCTATGTGTATTTGACAACATTAAATGATTCAAAGTGACTGCCGGCAAAAGTTGGATCGTTTTCAACCCATTTGGATTAATTGTGTAGTTTTTATTATGTTATTTTGGTTTTGTGATAATTCGTTCGACAACCTGTTCGATTTGTGCAAAAAAAACTAGGAAAACAAACTTCGAACATCGAAACATTATTGGTGTTTTTTTCCATTTTGGTAGCAAGTAATTGTTGAGCTTATTTAAATCGAAAATTTTCGTTTTTTTTATTAAATCAACTTTTGATTACAAGTGATCACTCTCACGTGTTATGAAATTGGATTAAATTGTTTATACGGCCAAAATTCAAAGTGATATTATTTGCTGAGAGGAAAAATAAACTTTTCGAAATAAATGAACAAAAATCGATGACCCAAATTTCATTGATGTGATCTTTAAACAATTGATTTGAAATCGTTATCATTCGGTTATTTAATTCAATTGCTGAATTCCTCTAGAAATCGAAATTCGGGAAACAAAAACAACTAAACATTTTACATTCAAGTGAATGTTTTTTTTTTTCGGGTTTTCAAAATATTTATGACTTTGAACGTTTGCGAACAGTGAAATTTCCAACATTCAACTTGAATACATAACACTTGCATTTATGTATTCTGTGAATGTCAGCATAAACAAAGAAAACGAAGAAGAAAAAACGAAATTTACTTCAAAATTCATTTTTCGCATTCGATGAAAATTGCACATTACAGTGTATAAAAAAAGAAAAGAGAGAAAAAAAAGTGTACGGAATAAAAACAGCAATTTTCTTTGGAAAATAATTTGAAGAAATTAAAGTGAGGCCGAGCATAGATTGTGTCGTCGATGCCACGGTGTTTTGTTTGTTAGTTACATTTTTTTCTCTTCTGTTTGATATTGCGTTCCGCTCTCTTTCTACACCATTCATTCGCAGTAACGCCGTTTTTATTTAAACTAAATTAGGCTGGGTTGCAAGCTGCACTGACACTCACGCATCCCATACAACAGCAACAGCAATCACCGATCGTTCGATTTGTGTGAAGAAATAGCAACAACAACACCGTTCAAAAAACTACTTGAAGAACAGGTTATTTTCTCATTTTTCTCGATATATATGTATAATATTTACACACACGAAAGCGCACGCGAGACTCGCGTCTAGTTACTACTGCATTCAATAATATAAGCATATTTTTCATATCACATTGATACACAAAAGACACACCGAGCGTAAACAAATTGAATTGAACAAGAGCTATCGAAAAAGGGCGAAAGACAGAAAGAGAGAGCGAAATTAAGACAAAAAAAACATTGAAGAAAATTAAGCGGGATATTCAACGAACATATATTTCTCAAGCGGCTTTGAGTGAAATAAAAAAAAACCAATTTACTACGACGTCGACGGCGACAAAAACCACGTGAATTAAAAGTGCAAAGGAAACCCCCCAAAAAAACTAAAACTTATCGTTTTAATTAATCGTATATCGTGAGAACTAAAAGAATTCCGAGATTCAAGGAAACGATTCCTTCTTATTAAACGCTGATTCAATGTGGCCCAGTTGGCAATTGAATATATCGATTTGACTAAAATAGTGTGAACACAAGCAAAAAGAAAATTTATAACCATCGAAACATTGGTTATTCTTGGAACAATTATAAAAATACCACTGGATTATTGGATTATTTGACATTTTCGGGCTTAAAAAATACATAAATGGTAAGTAATTACGAATCAATTGAATTGGCTCTTTAATATTTTATAGAAACAATTGGCTTTTAATTTTTTCTCATTATTATTTGAAATAACAACAAATGACTTTCAATTTACCTATATACATGTATATTCCAATAAGAAGACGTGTGTTTTACAAAAAAAAGAGACACACATTCACAATAGAAACGGTTTTTCAATGCATTCAAAAGTGGTCACAAATGCAACAAGAAAATGTTCATTCTGTTGACTTGAAATTCGCAACTATTCGTCATCATTGAAATGTGTGTTGATTTGTATGAAGAAAAAAAATCGGTCGTTGGCGTATTCACACATACTTTCATTAACGTCGTGATTTTTTCTGTAATTCAAAATCTCGTCGCTGCCACCATCATCATCGTCATCCTATTACGAGTCTCTTCTTTTACATAAATGCTGCTTTAAAAAGTAAGATGAATTCAATATGAACGAAAGAAGAAGAAGAAGAAGAAAAAATGTATGCACCATTCTATAAAATGGTCTGTGGATATATCGATGTACGCGAGATCTTGAAACGCGTTTTCTCATTTTTATCACAGTTGCGCAGCTTGAACGCACTTTCAGTGCACCCTGTCACATTCCAACGAATTATTGGCGTTTAAAATAAATATCTGTTTCTTTCGTTTTATTTTTCTTTTCTTGATTCATTTCTTTCTCTCTACGTACAATCGAGCATGTATTTCTGTTGCTATTTCTTCTGCTGCTGCTGTTGCTGCTTATGTTGTGTGTGTATGTTTTCTCTCTTCTTCTCTCCTCTACTCCTCTTCGTTGAGCTATGGCAATATGGTCGCTTATGGCTGTGGAATTTCTATGTGTCTCTCTGTTCGTTCACTTGGCAATATATATGTGAACTACAAACTATACATCCACACGTTTACAACCATTCCATTCCACTTTAATTCCATATATACACACAGAAAGACCGCAATGGATATATGTATATAAATGTGAACGTGCAACAGAGAGCAAATATGCTCTGTGCTTGAATAACGTTGAAAAATTCGATCGAATAGCTTGTTGTTTTAAATACATTCTACCCATACATTGATGACGTACATTGAATAAGAGACGTATCCATGTTAATATAATAGCGTTTTTGTTGTTGTATTGGTTTCACATTCTTTTGATGGGTGTTCCACAAGAGCATGCACAACAATTCAATGCAATGAGCGCGCTCAACTCTTTGTTGCTTTGAATCAAAGCATTTTTTTTGTGTGTTTCATTTATCAAAAGTGTTCAATCCAATTGTGTGTTGTTTTTATTAAATTTTGATTATTGTGCCGGAATGCCCATGGAAGTAATAACAACGAATTTTAGAAATGCAATTCAAATGAGCTGACCTTTTTCCATCAAAATATTCATTCAATTGAGCATATATTTTGATGTATTTACACAACAAATCAACATCTGTGATACTATTTAATCAAATCCCCATAATAATCAATGAGTAAAAAAATGCATACTCATTTCTGGGCCAAATAAATGCAAACGACGCGTGTTAAACACAAATTAAATAGCTAACCACAAATAGATGAATTTATACCCAACTATTTTTGTTCTGCGCGTGCTCGATACATGATTATGATATTTGCATACGCGTAATTTCAATGATATTTCACAATTATGCATATTTTTCGTCGACACAAACCGTAATTCTTTCGAAATATTTTGTGCATACCAATGCGAATATGCGACTGTCATATGCCTACAACTTATAAATGACTTATATAAATACAAACGGCCTAATATTAATGTGTGTATGTTTTTTTTCTTCTTCACAATTTGTCGCACAGTTAACATTCGGCTTAGACGGATTTCAAAGCGACAGTCTATTCACGGTTTGGGTTAAAGCTTTTTTTTTTGTCTACGAACATATTACGCTATTAGCATATTACATTCACACAATTAAATAACACAAAAAACCACACAGCTATCGCTGATAATATTCTTGATTAAATTGAGCGAGCGATAAGCCGATAATATAGTTCCCTTGTGGCAAACAAACATTTTAGGAATTTGGTCAAAACTCAGCCGCTATTCGCAATAATCTAGCAACAGTTGTAAAATTGATGATTTAATTGATTTGACAAACATATTTTCAAACAATGTGCCACATTTTAAGTGAAGTAAAATGTGTGGTAATTTGAACGTTCAATGAACAAAGACGGCTTAATAGGGAATTGTTTAAGATATTAATGCAATCCTTCATGACACAAATATTGTTGTGCCGATTTGAATGTGTTAAAAAGCGACTAATTAGGATACACACTTAAATGATGTATCGTGTTCTACGTGCGCATACATTTTAATTGTGTTTTTCTCTTCACTGAATACATTTACCTAAATTGAAAGTGTTATTTGTTTGGCTTATTAATTCTTTTAACGCGTGCGCATTCCATCACAATTTTTTTACGAAAGATCGCTTACTGATTTCAATGCACAAAAATCTTTCAAAATGAATATAATGTAAACAATTAAATGTGGCTGACATTTTATGATAATTGATGCAATCATTCGTAAAATCTGTGCAAGCGGACTGTGTTAATTATTTTTGTGTTAATTTACCCAAAGAAAATTAAAAACAATTGATTTTGGTTGATTGGCCAAAAGAAAAGCAGGTCGATTGATATGGTTGCGCGACCCATCCATTAATTTGAAAAGGGCAAATGTGACATCCGCATCAATGCGACCGTGTTTATGCATGCGTAAGTGTATGCGTACTTTCAATAATTACACTGGAATGTGGAATGTGACTTTGAAACAAAAAAAAAACAATTTTTTTAGCACGATAATTGACATTATTTCGCACGCACTATTTATCAATGCGTCTGTTAAAACAATAAAACAGTATGATGTATGACAACAAAAATAGTAAATTCCATGAAATTGAGCCAATTTATAAATAGCGATTAATACGCGGAATTTATGATTTTGAATGAATTTATGATGCTTTCAATGTGTGTCGTGCAACATACAAACACGCGACCGAATTAAGTATTATTGAAAGTTGCCATTATTCTGGACGTGATCAAATGGGAAATCCAACGTTTCATTTTCGCACATATTTTAAATATTTTGGCAAAAATATTCACAGAAATATGTTGCTTCGAAAACAATTATGGTTTTTTTGATGTTGCAAAGAACTGTTAACAGCTCGTTACTTTGTAGTACATATGGAAATAGAAAAAAAACATCGTTCAACATGAATGACTAATGAATGAGCTGAAAAATGTTGGCGCTTTTAAAAACCTTGTAGCACCATGTCTTAAACAGAGAATTTTTTTCATAAAAAACGATTCTTTTATTACTTGTATGCAGTCATACTTGGTCAATGGTGTTGGTTACACTGTTATGTGTAAGAATTGTTAGCAGGGAGAGAGAGAGATAATCAAGGTAAAAAAACTCTAATGTGAATTGTCATAATGTATCTTATCGCCGTGATTTATTTACAATTTTAACAAACCATTTTAAAATCGATATATGTAGACGCACACGGATTTGGTAATGTGCTGATATAATTATTCATTTGACAGTGTGTATTTATTATTTGTAGATATTTGCAACATTATTATAATTATTCGTTTAGATGAAGTTTTTGGTTCTTTTTTCTCTCTCTTTATCATCTGAAATATTTCAATTGAAAAAATAGAGAGAAATACTCATGTACCGAAAATTGAGATAAACGGTATACATTTGATCACGATATGTTATTGAGCGACTGAATCAACTCGCAAGCATTTCCGGCATTTGCCTGCTCTCACTGTATACAGAAATGGAGGAATATTGTATAGTTGCCACTTTGATTATGCTCATTTTCACCTCGACCCAATGGGCTTGTGTATGCGCGTTCACCAGCACGCACAAGCCTATAAACACGTAAGCAAATCGAAATTACAGACTCGTAACGATATGATGATAAGTCGATTGCGGTGAATCACATTCCAATTTTACGTTCATATGTTTCCGATTGTGTACAAATTCAAAATGAAATTAACATTCCGATTTAATGATCGGTTACAAATGGCACGAATTGATCGTTCATATTTTTAAATAGTGCTCTTCCACTCAAGTACGATGATAGCTTGAAAATAAAAGCCTAATTGGTTGTTCAGTTGTTTGTTATTAGAAAAATTGTGCGTTTATATTCTTTTCATTCGATGAGTCATTTGAATGACGGAAGTTATCAAGCGATCCATTGCGATTAACCATCAATTTTTCAGCACAAGTGAATGAAAATTCATTGTGGGCGTTTTGAATTGATAATATTGCTGACTTCCATGATCCGCTTGTAATCACTTCATACAATGTTGTCAAAATTACTAGATGATGGAAAAGATAAACTTGAAAGAGAAAACGACTTATTCCAAAGATGTTTTTCTGTAAAAAACCAATTCTTTTGAAAGTAAAACGTTTCAAAACGTTCTGTTTTTGGCAGAAGTGTTGCGCATTTTAAATCGACGTTCAAAGACCAACACATTAACTTGTGTTATGAGTAATCGCATTTATATCAATTGTTGTGTTTATGAAACTTAAAAATGAGGAATTCATTCGACTTTTGACTGCTTTTTTAGGGGAACAACTATGAATTTTATTCATCAAATTCGCTCCATCATGATAGTTACCATTATGTTGTAACGTAAAAAGTCACCAAATTCGTTCAGAAAATACATTCTTTCAAGTTTGTACTGATAAAATGATTTTTCAGCATCATGCGTCAATATTCAATTTGCGTACTAAATACAGCAGTGCGATGGGATGAATGGCAAATGAAAAGGAATATGAACTATGTCTTGTTCTCCGATAACTTAAAATTTTCCATGAAAACATAATTTTGGTAGCCTCATTCCATTTAGTGAATCTTAAATGCTATCTAAAAGGAATGACGTGATAATCAATTTTTAATGTTATTTTGTTCTTCTTGATGCTGATGACGTCAAAAGTTTGTCGTTATACATTTCATGTAATTA